TTGGTCACACCAGCATGGTGTTCACCATGCCCTTTTGTGGCTCCAATGAGATAAACCATTTCTTTTGTGATATCCCCCCATTACTGAAACTTGCTTGTGGGGACACTTCCAGGACTGAAATTGCTGTGTTTGTAGTGGCTATGATTTTTGTGACTCTTCCTTTCATCCTAATCTTAATGTCTTATGCTGGTATTATTGTCACCATTCTGGGAATTTCTTCTGTTGAGGGCCGGAAAAAGACCTTCTCCACTTGCTCATCACACCTCATTGTGGTGACTTTATTTTATGGCTCAGCTTGTATTATGTACTTGAAACCCAATTCCACTTATTCACCCAACAGTGACAAATATCTGTCTCTTTTCTACACAGTTGTTAGCCCCATATTGAACCCTATCATATATAGCTTTCGTAATAAAGAAGTTAAAGGTGCCCTTAGGAAAATTTGGGAGAGAAAACCTTTTGGATAATCAAAGATGAAGGACAAATATTTTGATATCCAAAATAATGTAAGTGATATTTTGCCTCTTTTTGCTCTGTGCCAGAAAAGCAAGTTTCTCCAAAAGAAATTTATCTAATGATCCTTCCAGCCTACCTATTTTGTATTCTGCATTGGTCTGAAACACAACAAATCCATAGAGCAGAGAAACTGGTTAGTAAGATTATACTGTGTGACAAGTCACATGAAAGGACTGTTTCTTCAGAGTTCAGATTTTATGTGTTCAGCATTGGAGATATGGGCTGTATTCCCCAGACCACTTTCTTTCCAGCAGTTTTTGTTAATGCTAGTTGAATGCATCAAATTGTGCCACTGCTACATGGGTTCAGTTCATATGATATTAATGGAAGATAAACTATATGCTGAATTGAAGTGAGATGTAACCAGTTCTTCCATTGGTCAAAAAAACTATCCTGGTGGTTATAGCATATCCATAGACTAAAGTCATGTGTGACCAGGATGGGAGTGGATTGGTCAACACTGAGATAAACAGCTCAGTTAATCCCACTCCATAATTGGAGATGAACATAAATTTCCTTATATCGATTCCAAATTGAGATAAAATGAGCTTGTGGATTGGAGTCAACCAGATTTTCTGCTGGTGAAAAGGAAGGTGAGGTTCTTTTTGACCACTCAAAAATTCTATGCTGTGGATGATGCAACCCTTATCGACAAAAGCCATGTGGCATAGGGACTATAGTAATGAGAGAGACAGGGCATAAGTGAAAAAGGCTGACAGTGAAAAATTACTATCCCAAACCTGTCACAAAAAATTGGGAATACAGAAAGATAGCTACTATTTTAGGAGCAATGTTCCATATGTGAATAGTTAGAGTATTTGACTATGATCTGGAGGACCCAGGTTCAAATCCCCACTCTTCCATGGAAGCTTACTGGGTGATCTTGGGACCTCCTCCCTTTATCATCTACTTCACAGGTCTATAGTGAGGATAAATGGAGCAAGTAAGAACTACATTGTATTCCGCTTCGGGACACTGTTGAAAAGAAATAGAAGGTATACATATCTAAATAAAGAATGAGAAATAATCATCCATCACTTGCTATCAGAGGGAAATTGACAGTTTCCTTTTTAAAATCTCATATGGGATTTTATCACTAGGTACCCTTTTTTGAATCAGAGAAAAGCAACATTACTCAGCCATGAAGAATGGTACCAAATATGTGAGTCTTGGATCCAAGACAAAGCTGTGCAGGGTTCAGGAGGGAAGGTACTATAGGAGATTTAGGGAACAATTCTAAGCATGTCTACTCAGAAGTAAGTCTGATTTTATTCTATGGCATTTTCACTTAGGAAGGAGTTGTTAGTGCTGTAGCCTTAGTTCCCACAGTCCTTTACGTTCTCTAGATTGGATTCTACAGTCCCTTCTCATTGAAGGGAATACCTAGAGCTACGAAACTCCCCACCATGACCCTGTTCCACTGCCATGGGTAGGTAAAAAGAAATAAGCAAAGGCTAATGGAATGATGAAGGGGAGTTCTCCATAAAAATGAGATGGGGCTTGGAAAGGGATTTGGGGGTTGAGGAAAATATTGGTTGAAAATAATTCAAGGGTGTGTTGTTTTTTCTTGAACTTCTTCTTAAATGTACCAGAAGAGGGAATACACTGTCTACTTTAGTGTGCTGAAGGTGCTATAGCAGAGGTCAGCAGCCTTATAGAACCACTGCAGTGCAGTGACATAAATATGTACATAGTTCATATCTGGAACTCTTCACTTTTATTATTTCCTTTTCTGTAAAGCTTCCCTAAGTAGCCTCGTATGTATGTATGTGCTGTCAAGTTGCTACTGATTCATGGTGACTCCAGCAAGAGGTTTTCAGGGCAAGTGA